CCCCAAAACCCCAAAACCCCAAAACCCCGGAAAGAGAGTAAGAGGCTTTTATAAGGAGTTATAAAAATATATATTTTTATTTAGAATAATCATCATAAACAAAATGTCAAATGAAAATTAATAGGAGTAGCCTCACTCTTCTAATTCTGCGTATTCAGCTGCGGGGTAGTTCTCGAGGGAGAACCCTAATTCTTCGACGAGGGTAAGTACCCACTATCATATTTTTGAAATTTAAGAAACAACAAGGTAGCTCAAAGCAGCAGTAAGCATAAGCAGAGGGGGGAAATTTAGCAAAGAAAAAAACCGATTATCACGAGCAAGAGAGGCATGCTTGAAATTCAGCCTTAGGTAAGCAATTTCAATCGCCAATAATTAGCAAAGGGAGATGAGGAAATCAGGGATGTAAGCGCTGATCGAGTCCTTTCTGATTCCTACTCTAATAAAATGACTGCGATGAATGGGGTAAATACTGGAGGGGACTATTTCATGAAAAAATAAAGCGATTCTTAAGAATATATAGAGTCTGTTTACTCAAAGAACAATCATAATCTTATTGACATTATGGAAGACTTTGATCAACTAGATGCTAGTCTGGGGGAAAGTGATAAGAGCAAGGCCAAGGAATTCATTATAAAGAAGATCTAGCGAAACCCTAGCAATGTGCAGATGTCTCAGTAGCAGCAGTAACAACAGTACAATAAGAATTTGCAGAACATAAACATTAGAAACTTCAATAATAGTCATGAAATTGCCAATGATGAGGGCAGATAGCAATAACAATAGAACTAAGCTCAGCAACAGTAATAGCAATAATATCAACAGAATTAATAGCAAGTGTAACAATAATTCAGGCAGAGCCAGCAATCCTGGATCAAGCCTTCAAGATAAATGTCCAAACGACAACAGATAAGAAATTAGCACAGCGTTAAGGAAAATTAGGTTACGCGGAATCAATAATCATAATTTTAAGAAGGGCAATATTTTTCCAACAGTAATTAATAAAACCCATATTAATAACAGTAATATAATGGAACCTAGAAAAACCAGCCAATCAAGAAGCAGACTACTCATGGGAACGAGAGTAGCCTTTAGCAGCATACTGATAATATAAAGAGCTAATAGAAGCGGGTAGCCAGAAATACTGTCTATGGTGTTTCATTTCTTGATTAGGGCAAATAAAATCAAGGAAGTCTTGTAAATGCAGAATATGAGTAGATGAGCAAGGTAGGGAGTAGAGCTAGTGCTATGAGATCCTATCACAGATAACTAAAACAATCCATAGGAGGAGGAAATCAAGTAACGCCTCTGAATATTAATACCAATCACCTTGTCCACCAGCAGGCTTAGTTTCAGTACGGTGCAAGGCCCTCTGAATCATAATAAAGAATGAGGATGCATCGTTTGAACTCTGCAATGGAGGAGTAAGATAACTCTGCTATCCGCTCCTAGGTTACTGCACTGCCATAGACCGAAGACTAAGATTTTCAACAAGTAAGCTCGAGTAATGCCAACAAGAGAGCTATCCACTAATCTTAGAGTTCGTCGAATTTCCCATAGCCGAGAGCTTTTAATAGCAGCTATAATTAAGTAAATAATAACAATTATGCAAGTTTTGGATAAAGTCAACAGCAAATAAATAGTGGAGGATAATCTATGCAGAATGAACAGGCTTTTCGAATTTCTATTAATAAAGAGGATAAAGTTAAGAATCACCTGACGAAGGATGTCAACCCAAATCTGAATCTAATGTTTTATGACTTCAACGATTATGGTCAAACATCTAAAGGAAGAGACTCTTCCTCTAATCAGCAGCCAGCCCTGTAATCCTAGAGCTAATAAAGGACACATCAACAACCTATAGGGGACAGACTTCCCTCAAGATAAAACTAAACCAGAGGAAGCCGGCGAGGACCCAGAGACTCTCAGACTAAATTTTATGATTAAATCACGAATATGAACAGTGATTTTAGTCAGAGACTGGGCAGTCCTTTTCCAAATTTTCAAAAGAGGACTAAGGTCATTTTACCCAGCATACAGCACCCAAGCGGTATGACTGGACAGTCGCAATCTCAACTGTCAAATAACCCCAAGAGTAGTAATATGCACGGTGGAGGTCATCATCATAATCCTCACCATCACAAGTCTCAGAATAGCCATCATTCTCCGAAGAGAAATGCCTCTATTGGAATAGTAATGGAGATGATAAACGAAGAGGATCCTTGAATAGTATTACCAACAGTAAGGGTCTTTATAAGGCTCTACATAGATAAAACTTATTACTTTTAGATATCTTCTCTACCACGATTAACAAGTATGATGATAGTTTGCAAATTTGAATACTAATTTTCCTTCCTTATTATGTAAATAATTAACTAATTACTTCAAACTCTCTGTTTATTTTTTAAGTTCGGGGTTTTGGGGTTTTGGGGTTTTGGGGAGATCGGAAGAGCACAC